CGTGCGCGTGCGCGTGCGCGTGCGCGTGCGCGTGCGCGTGCGCGTGCGCGTGCGCGTGCGCGTGCGCGTGCGCGTGCGCGTGCGCGTGCGCGTGCGCGTGCGCGTGAGCGTGCGCGTGCGCGTGCGCGTGAGCGTGCGCGTGAGCGTGTGCGTGTGCGTGTGCGTGTGCGTGTGCGTGTGCGTGTGCGTGTGCGTGTGCGTGTGCGTGTGCGTGTGCGTGTGCGTGTGCGTGTGCGTGTGCGTGTGCGTGTGCGTGTGCGTGTGTGTGTGCGTGTGCGTGTGCGTGTGCGTGTGCGTGTGCGTGTGCGTGTGCGTGTGCGTGTGCGTGTGCGTGTGCGTGTGCGTGTGCGTGTGCGTGTGCGGTGCGTGTGCGTGTGCGTGTGCGTGTGCGTGTGCGTGTGCGTGTGCGTGTGCGTGTGCGTGTGCGTGTGCGTGTGCGTGTGCGTGTGCGTGTGCGTGTGCGTGTGGTGTGTGTGTGTGTGTGGGTGGGTGTGTGGGTGTGTGGGTGTGTGGGTGTGTGTGTGTGTGCGTGTCCGGCTCGCTGGCAAAACGTCGAACGAATAGCGCCCTCCAGGGTCCGACACCCAGAAAATCCTCCAACTCCGATGCTTCCCTGGTGCTCGAAACTCTTCCTGGTCCTCAAAGGAAGATCGGAACATCATAGCCCGCATCGTGCTCACGGCCTGGAGGGCCTGCGACGGCACCCGGAGACCGAGAATAGCGAAACCCCTTCCGTCATGTTTCTTTCGTGCCCTCCTCGATCCTCCTCCTCCTCCTCCTCCTCCTCCTCCTCCTCCTCCTCCTCCTCTTCCTCATGCAGGCGGTCTGGGACCCGACCTCGAAGAGTGCAATCGGGCGCATCAGCCGCCGGAAGACCACCGACTTGAGGGGCGGCACTGGCACGCGGAAGTCGTTCGGGCAGTACTCCTGGCGCAGCCGCTGCACCTCCGGAGAAGTCAGAAGGTCATAAGGTCCCGATACTACCACTCCCCAGGCCTCTCCTCAGATGCGCTCTTGGGGCCTCTTGGGGCCTCTCGGGGCCCTCTTGGGGCGCTCTTGGGGCGCTCTTGGGAGCCTTCGGGGCGCTCTTGGGGCCATCTTGGAGGAGATCTATCAAAGAAGGGGGGGTCGTAAACTAGCGCTGCCCCTCTAGAGTGCCTCGAATCGCCTCTTGGGCCCTTCTTGAGGCCTCGACCAGGATTGGAGCGCGTTTTTTTCAAGGAGCTCCAGCAGATCAGCCTGCACGGGATTCCCCCACCCCCGCCGCCGGACGTGTGACAGTGCGGAGCCGAAGCGGCGTGCACGTGAGTCTCGCCTTGCGTGAATTCTCCAGGGTTCCTTCAGTGCCTGGCCGTCCTGCCCCCTCCCCCTCGAGGCAAATCCAACTGTGGCAACGATGGCCTTCCAAGAGGCCCAACGCGCGGAAAACGAGGGAAGCGGAGCGGTATCAGCAAGCCTTCCGAGACATCCGGCGTTTCGACTTTGTCGAGCCCCCGGCCCCCGACCTCTCGACCACTTCCCTGGGACTGCACGGTTTCCCCCGGGGCCGTAGGCGACCCGAGGAGGAGGAGGAGGAGGAGGAGGAGGTGGAGGAGGGGGAGGGGAAGGAGGAGATGGAGGAGGAGGAGAAGGAGGACGAGGAGGAGGAGGAGGAGGAGGAAGGAGGAGGAGGAGGAGGAGGAGGAGGAGGAGGACGAAGAGGACGAGGGAGAGGAGAAGGAAGAGGACGGGCCGCCTAAGCCCTTCGAACAAACCTACCACCCGGGACTGGGTTTCTCATCCCGAGTCGCTGTTCTGACTATCCCGAGGCCCAGTGAGAATCCCAGGAGGCCGAAAGCTACGATGTTCTCAGGACCTCCTCCTCCTCCTCCTCATCCATCCATCCATCCATCCATCCATCCATCCATCCATCCATCCATCCATCCATTCCCTCCACCCCCCCCTCTCGTCCTCCTCTCCCCTGTCTATCTCCTCCCCCCACCCCTTAGAAACACGGGCGACGCGCACAAGAGGGGGACTGCTTCTTAGAAGGCGCCAGCCCTGCATCTGTGGACAGGGCCCGCGTCCAATAAGAAGCAGGGGTGCTTCTAGGAAGCCCTCCCTCCTCCCCCATACCCCCGTCTGCACGTCAGGGGCACGGATTGGGAGGACTGGCATAGAAGAGAGGGAACATCGACCTGCATTCGGCGACACATCGCCGACAGATCGGCAACAGGCCCCCGATGGCCAATCCGCACGCTCCTGGGCAGGTTGGGGCTATCATCGGGCCCCATGTCCGCGATCCATGGGCGACTGGCGGTCGATGTGCATCGCCTCCTGCGCACCAATCCCCTCGCTCTGTGCACCTGAAGGACGCTGCTGGGATGACCGTGGGGGGGTTCTAAGCGGATAGGGGGGTTACACGTGGATGCCAAGGTGGGTTATATCTGGCCCAGCCTGGCTCAGATGTGGGTTACAAATTCCCCGAGTGGCTGAGGGGGGCTAGGTAACTCGGCTAAGTGGGCGGAGCCCACTTAGCCCAGATCGTGAACCCCCCTAAGCTACTCAAGGCACTTGCAACCCACTTATAAGCCAGGCTGGGCCAGATATAACCCACCTTGGCATGCACTTGTACCCCCCCCCCTATCCACTTGGACCCCCCCCACGGTCATCCCAGTACGTATCTGTTTTTGTTCTGCACTTTCCATTACCATCGCGCTCAACGCACGTAGCTTGTCTGCCTCAGCCTCGCTGCGGGCCCGTGCGCGCCGAGGGGTGCGCCTGCTTGGCCGGATGGCGCCGTCGACCGAGGCTGGCCGGGCCTCCGACTCCCGACGACTGTGTTCTCCGGACGGGGCTCGACAGCCACTTCCCCAGCTGCGGCGCAGCTGCGTTGATAATCGGCTTGTGGGCCAGAGTGCCAGGATTCGACACATATGAGCCCCTGATGGTCCACCCGCCTTGCAGCGCGTTGGCAGCAGAAGCCATGGCGCTCGACGAGGCTTCGCAGGACGTGGCCCGTCTTCTTCGCACATGGGTATGAGGCGGCTGCAGTCCAGGCCGCCTGCGCCGCGCCAAACAAAAAAAGTGAAAGACCGCCACTTCCCCCCCGTGGAGGACGCTCCCTGCGGACTGCGTGGGGAAACAGGGCCCCGATCCTGCACCGGATAGGTTCCGCTGTTGCAGAGGAAGTCCCAGGCGGTAGCGCAGTGGGCGGGAGCGCCATGTGGATGTCGAGCCCGGCAGGTCTCGGACTCTGCTTTGGAGGAAATCGAACCAAAAGGACTTCGAACACCAGTCTTCAGGAAGTCCAGGCCGCCTTTCTGCGACTACAACGGGTGCGGTTCGCAAAGGGTGCGGTTTGCCTCCCGTCATATCTGCCCCTCCCGCCCCTGGGAAGAGGATGACACTGTCACTCAATGCGGCCGGATCACATGACACTGTCGCTCCTTCCAATACAGTGAAGCACATATCGATGATGACAATGTCGCTCGAAACGACGACGACAATTGTGACATTGTCTTTCACAAAGACCCCAGAAAGGCCGCCACAAAGCAACTCGCAAACCGCACCCTGGCGTAACCGCACCAATTGTAGTCGCCGAGCCTGCGCCGCGCGAAAACAAAAAGAAAGACCGCCACTTCTCGGGAGGCGCCGGTGCAGCTGCTGCGGGTGCAGAGGGCCCCCCCCCACTGGGCGGCGGTCGGAGGAGGAGGAGGAGGAGGAGGAGCAGGAGCGGAGGAGGAGGAGGAGGAGGAGGGGAGGAGGAGGAGGAGGAGGAGGAGGAGGAGGGCAGGAGGAGGAGGAGCAGGAGGAGGAGGAGGAGGAGGAGGAGGCAGGAGGAGGAGGAGGAGGAGGTGGAGGAGAAGCAGGAGGAGGAGGAGGAGGAGGAGGAGGAGGAGGAGAGCAGGAGGGAGGAGGGAGGAGGAGGAGGGAGGGGCAGGAGGGGGAGGAGGGGGAGGAGGAGGAGGTGGAGGAGGAGCAGGAGGAGGCGGAGGAGGAGGAGGAGGAGGAGCAGGAGGAGGAGGAGGAGCAGGAGGAGGAGGAGCAGGAGGAGGAGGAGCAGGAGCAGGAGGAGGAGGAGGAAGAGGAGGAGGAGCAGGAGGAGGAGGGGGAGGAGGGGGAGGAGGAGGGACGGCGCGCCGTGGAGGGACGGCGGACGCCCGGGAACGACAAGGGGGCACGTCGGGGTGTTGCTCCTCCTCCGGGCCTCCGCCTCGCCCAGGCCGCCCCGCTCGCGGAGGCAGTGGTACCCCAGCAGCGGCCGCGGCGCGGGCACCTCGGGGAAGGTGCGGCGAGGGGCGGGGCGTGTATAGGGGAGAAAGAACTACGCACATACACTGGCCATCGCTCGGACGTCCATTCCCCGTGTTTTTTTCGGTTTCGTGCGTGGTTTTTTTTCGCCAAATGATCAAGGATGCTCCTCGATGGTCCTCGCCGAAGGAAAAATGCACACGTCCGAGCGATGCCAGGTGCACATACAGGGCAATGTTTAATACATAGGATTTTTAAGACTATAGGACTTTTGGTACATGATCCGCACGCGGAGCATGCAAACAAAAAAACGGCACTGTACCCCGATCCTGGCAGGGCCCATCCTGAGCCCAGGCTCGGTGCACACGCCCTCCTGCCTTGGCCGGGAAGGCACATGTGCGCCGATCCTGGGTCAGGGGTGGGCCTTTGCCAGGATCGGTGCATGCGCATAGTTGTTCTCTTCGCCCGAGTGACACATCTTTCGGGGACAAAAAACAGCGCCTCGGGGAAAGTCCAGCGAGGGGGGGGCGTGCAGGAAGCAGGAGACCCCGGAATCGAGTCGGCACGGCGGATGATCGGCGGTCGAGGCGGAGCGGAGCGGCGGAGATCGGCAAGCTCGTCGGCCTCCCTTGAGAGAACTCGGGGCCCAGAGAACGGCATCCGAGGGCGAGTCGGAACGGGCCGGTGAGAGGAGGGGCGTGCAAGAGGAGAGGGGGGGGTCGCCAATCATGGCCCGAGGCGTGTGCGGGGCCCGTCGCCCGCCTCGAGCCTAGCCCTGTCCCCGAGATGGGTTAACCAATTTGGGCGCCCCACGGGGGCTGTAGCCGCAGACTGCCCCGAAAGTGGCGACACGAAAAGCAGATTGGCAGGAACTGCTTCCAACAGTTTCCACAAACCCCCCACCGCCAAAAACAGATTCAGCGAGAGTGTTGGCTCAGCCAAAGGCGATAACAATATCAGGGATGTGCCCTCGGGAATTGAGGGAATCCATAAGATCGGCATCGAGGGAAGGTGATGCCAAACATCGGGAGAGGGATGTGCTTCAAACTGGCAAGCCCCACGCCCAGGGGGGGGGGCATGGGGACGTCTTAAAATAAGAAGAGGGGCCGTGACATGCAATGAGATATAGTGGCCCTGGCCATGATATCCACCCCCCTGGCATCCGACGTAGCGAAAAAGCAACCCCATCTTTCTGCGCCATGCTTTCGAGCCGAATCGATATGTGAGGGTCCTGGGGAAAAAAGGCGCAAGCGCCAGTTGTCATAAAATAAGCAAAGCCAAAATCTCATGGTAACCATCACTGACGGAACCAAAAGGTACCGATACCGCTACTCCCCGGACCTCCCGGGGTGCGTTTTGACCAGGACTTCGAGGCGAATCCAGCGGTGGCGACGAGGGCCTCCCAGGAGGCCCCAAAGGGGGAAAGCGGGGGAAGGGCAGCACAGTAGGGGCTCGACCACAAGAAACCTCCCACAAGAAACCCAACCATGAGACCCCAGGACGTCACGCTCTCCATCGCATGACCAATCGAGGCCCAGGAAACCCAGGGCGCCCTGGAGGCAAGCAGGGTGTTGCCTGGCATGGGCCCCCACTGTATAGGCTTAAGTCGGGCGTGTCCCCTACAGGGGGATTTCGAAGACAAATTAAAAATACCGCAAAAATGCACCAAAAAGGTCAACAAATACACCAAAAATAGTCCCCAGACTATGTTTGGAATATTTTTTGATTATTTTGGGGGTACTTGTCATTCTTCGTCGAAAATCCCCCTGTGGGGGGACAGGCCCGACCTAAGTGTAGGCTACCTTTTCCTCCTCTGAGTCTGCCCCCCCCTCTCAGTGGCCGCCCCCCGGCACCACCGCGGCGCCCTCCCAGCCGGGCCCGCGGGGCCCCAGGCGGTAGCGCTCGCCGTGGAAGCGGATGCGCAGGCCGCCGCCCTCGTCGCCCGCGACCTTTCGGGCGGTCGTCTCACGGGGGGGGACCTAGAGTTGGCTCGGGCATGTCCCCCTCTACAGGGGGATTTTCGGCAACCGAAAAAAGTACACCAAAAAGGTCAGCAAATATTCAAAAAATAGTCCCCAGACTATGTTTGGACTATCTTTTTTTGGGGGGGGTAACTTCTTAATTTTTTGTCGAAAATCCCCGTGTAGGTGGACAGGCCCGACTTAAACCTAGAGTTGGGTCTGGCATGTCCTCCTACAGGCGGATCTTTGGAAGAATCTAGAACAGTGTTAAAACATCGGAGGTTGGGGGGCGAGATCGCAGCGAAGCGGAGACCCCCCACCGGGAAATCGGTTTCGGTTTCATGTTCGTGTCTTGCGTGCGGGCGAGGCGAAGCTGCGCGTGATCCTCCTGTAGCTAGGCCGAATGAGCGAAAGTCTAATCCCGTCCGCCGGTGGCTGGGAGGTATCCCAGTTGGGCCGGGCGGTGTCCCGGGTGTCCCGGGTGTCAGTAGGAGCGAAAGTCCGTTTCCCGTCCGCCGGTGGCCGGGAGGTGTCCCAGTTGGGCGGGGCGGTGTCCCGGGTTTCCAGGGTGTCCCGGGCGTCCCGGCGCTAACGCATGTCGCTAAACTCATAATTTATATTTTTCTGCGCCTGCGGCGGGCTTTCTCATCCAATCCAGCTTATCTTCTCCAATCCATCTTGTCCAATCCAATCCATCTTATCTGATTCAACCAATTGTCCCATCTTATCTGATCCAACCCATTCCAATCCACCCAACCCAATCCATCGATTCATTTGTTTCTGCGCCTGCGGCGGGCCAATCAAATCCATATTATCTTATCCAATCCGCTTCTTCCAATCCAACCCATCCCATCTTCTCCCATCCATCTTATCCCATCCGATCCAATCCACCCAACCCAATCCATCAATACATTTTTGTCGGCGCCTGCGGCGGGCTTTCTTATCCCAAACAGCTTATCTTTTTCAATCCATCTTGTCCAATGAAAGAGAGAGAGAGAGAGAGAGAGAGAAAAAGAGAAAAAGAGAGAGAGAGAGAGAGAGAGATGAGACCAAGGTGACAGGCTGGAGGTCTGCCAGGGTGGGCATTTGATCTCAATCCCCCCCAACCTCCTTATCGCCCGCAGGGCGGTCGTATAGGTATACCTATATGACCACCCTTCGGGTAATAAGGAGGTTGTGTGGGGGGGGAGAGGGGGGGGAACCAACATCTGACTCAATCGATCTCACTATCGATCTCAATCAACGAGACACCACGGGACACCACGGGACATCACGGGACACTTGTCGACCTCACTCTCGATCTCACTCAAAAGGACACCACGGGCCACCACGGGCCACCACGGGACACCGTGCCCCGGGGCACCACGGGACACCGCGGGACACTTGTCGACCTCACTCTCGATCTCACTCAAAGGGACACCACGGGACACCACGGGCCACCACGGGACACCGTGCCCAGGGGCACCACGGGACACCGCGGGACACCTCTCGATCTCACTATCGGTCTCACTATCGATCTCACTATCGATCTCACTCAACGGAACACCACGGGACACCACGGGACACCTCCGGACACCACATCGATCTCACTATCGATCTCACTATCGATCTCACTCAACAGGACACCACGGGACACCACGGAACACCTCCGGACACCTGTCGATCTCACGATCGATCTCACTATCGATCTCACTCAACGGGACACCACGGGACACCACGGGACACCTCGAGACACCACATCGATCTCACTATCGATCTCACTATCGATCTCACTCAACGGGACACTACAGGACACCACGGGACAACTCGGGACACTTGTCGATCTCACGATCGATCTCACTATCGAACTCACTCAACGAGACACCACGGGACACCGGCGGGACACCGCGCGCCACCGGCCGCCGGAGGAGAAACAGTTGGTCTGGCCGCGGCCCAGCCACAGGAGGCTTTTGGGACACCAGCAGGACACCGGCGTGACACCGCGCGGCACCGGCCGCCGGAGGAGCAACATTTGGTCCAGCCGCGGCCCAGCCACAGGAGGATTTCCTCTCGCCCGCCCACGCAGCTTCGACTCGCCCGCACGCACGCACGCACGCACGGCACGCACGACACGAACCCGAAATCGAAATCGATTTCACGGTAGGGGGGATCTCCGTTTCATGTCGATCTCACCCCCCAACCTCCGATGAGAAGTAATCCCCTTACTATTTTTCTAACTATTTTCGGATGTTCCTCCTGTGCAGGGACATACCCGACTTAAACCTAGAAGCAAAAACGCTTAACTTCTCGCTTCGCGTTTCGCGCTGCGCGAAGCGCGAATAGCTTCGCGCTCTCGCGCCGCCCCACAGGGGAAAAGAGGAGGATGAGTGGAATTGGAACCGAACCGCGAAGCGCGAAGCGCGAATACTTTCGCGCTCTCGAGGGTGGCCTTGTAGAAGGGGGGAAGAAAAGGGCCCCTGACCCAGACCCCATCGAGCCATGAACACATCACGACAAACTCGTTGGACATGCTCGGCCTCTGGGGGCCCTCGCTGGGCCTCGGGACCTTCGGAAAACGACTCGGCATCATTATTATTATTGTTATTATTATTAGTAGTAATATTATTATTCGTAGTAGTAAAAATATTATTAATCGTATCATGACTCGCATTTTTAGTATTAATAATATTATTAATAATATTATTATTGGGATGAAAAGCCGGTGCCGGTGAATGGGTCGAGACCTTGGCCCTTCGGGATCCTTTTCGGACCCCTATAGGCCGCAAAAGGACTCCTCAAGTGAGCATCGTCTAGCCGACCCTTACCCCCCTGGGTATGGCCTGGGCCCCACTGGCCGATTTACCCCCCTCGATGGAGATATAGGCTGCTCCGTTCGGGTTTCAATTCCGAGGGGTATATTCCCAACTGGCATGGTGAGATGGTGGGGGTCTGGGTCCCTGGCCGGGCCCATCCTGAACCTAGCAGCGGTGTATACGCCAGGCCCTCCTGGCTCGGCCAGGAGGGCGTATACACAGCTCCTGGGTTGAGGATGGGCCTGACCAGGAAGCAGTGGCTATGGATAGATTTCGTCGCCCGATGTATGGGGATGGGGAAAGGGGTCGGTTAGAAAGGTTATTGATCCATAGAAGAAAAAAAAACACCATAAACATCAACTTTCGGCGCTCCGCGCGGACTCTTGGATCTGTGCTGGACCCCCCTCTCTGGCGCTCGGAGCGCGCCAGGGGCGGCCCCGGAGGCGCCGCCGGGGAGGGCCCAGCGCGGATCTAAGAAATCCGCGCGGAGCGCCGAAAGTTCATGTTCATGGCGATTTTTCTTCTTCGATATAAGGGTCGGTTCAAGGATACTGATCCAGGGCCCCTCCCCCCCCCCTTTGGGCCACCCCCCCCTCAGCTTCCGCCTGGACCTCGCGCAGCACGGGCGGCCTCCCCGCCTGGCTCACGCACACCTCGGCGGCACGCAAGGAACGACCCCACCATCCCGGAGGCACAGAGAAACACAAATCAATAGACACAAGTCCAAGGATTCCCCATTTTTCTTTTAATTTTCTGGATGTTCGTCTTCTCCCCCCTTCCAAAATTTTCGAATATTCTCCTAAGACTCGAAGATTGATTATGTCCGTGTGCTCTTTCACTCCTGAATCTGGGCGTCGCACCTTTTTTCCACACCGGGCGTTTTCCTTCGCCTGGCTTCGGGTCCCCACGACTCACAGATCGATCAAGCTCGAGAAATGCAGCTGAACAATGGGTCCGGAGGTGGTGTCCGATATGGTGTATTTGTCGCTGCAAGTTGCAAGGTCCGATCTGAGGTAATGCGTACCCAAGAAGTGGAACAAACACTTGGGACCAAGAGAAACTACTGCTTGAGCGGCCCAAGGTCGCTGGAGCCACGTCCCCTCTCGACATCACGCGGACCATAGCAGGTAGCAAGAACTGAAACGCCGCAGCCACGTAGCCGCTGGTGCAGCAAGGAAAATCGGGAGCGGCCAAGAGGGGGGTGTCCAAGAGGGGGTGGTGCAAATCATGGCCGGCGGCATGTGCGCGGCCCAGCGGGGGGGCAAGGGACGTAATGAAATAAGAAGAGGCGCCATGAAATCTGGGGAAATATCATGGCCCTCGCCATGATATCCACGGCCCCCTAGTCATCACCCCCCTCTTTTCCGCCCCCGAGAAAAGATACTAGATCCTTCGCCGCCAGAGGCGCTGCCCCCCCCCTTGAGAGAGGACGGGGGGGTGGTCCTCCGTTGATCCGCCACTGTGTCCCCTGTAAAACGACGCGAAGATCGAAATAACATCGGATCGGGATAACTCGAAATCTCTGAGAATCGGCGGGTTTGGAGGATGTATTGGGCGCCGCGGCCGCTCCAGAGCGTTCCGGAACGCTCTGAGAGCGCTCCGGAACGCTCTGGAGCGATTTATCCCGATCCTAGCCCTGTTTATAAATGCCAGGTGCGGTCGGGTAGGGTCTCGGCACCCGTCGGTCGTAAGAAGTGGGCGGAAGCAGGAAGCAGGAAGGCAGATAAAAACAGATTGGGTCCGGGCCCGCCCGAAGAAGGACAAGAGACAGCGAACACGGATCGACTCTCGAAGTGGGGAGACGCTTGAAGCAGACTGGGATCTGGGGGTCCAGAGATCCCTACTTTCAACGACCGACCTGTACTGTTCAGAAGAGGACACCCGCCATTTGAGGAAACACAGCGCTGCGTGCATAGCCCCCTCCTCCCGAGGCCACAACTGGTCGCAAAATGCAGCAGATTCGCGCTCCCGAGCCAGGGTGCCTTCAAGACGGCCCACAATCGCTCCGAGGCGGGCCACTTTGACTTCAAAACTGCCCAAGAGGCCTCAAGACGGCCCACGGGGCCTTCCCAAGAGGACCTCGAAATTCACAAATCATTGAACTTCCGATATGTGTCAATGTGATTCTGGTCTCGCCTTTTCGAGCACCCGGCGTCTCATGTCGATTCAAGAGGCCACCAGGACTGCCCCCAAGAGGCACACAATAATGCCCAATAGGGCCCCAAGACTGCCTCCCAAGAAGGGTCCAAGAGAGTGAACACGGACCGACAATTCGAGCCTTCCGCCCCAAGAGAACTCAGCATGCCCCAAGAGGGCCAAAAGAGGCCCCGATCAGACCCACGAGTGGGCCCTGAGGCAAACACAATTGATGCCCCTATGTTGTTTCAATGAATTTTGGGTTCCCGCCGTTTCGAGCTTCCGACGCCCCAAGACGACCCAAGAGGCGGCCAAGACTCCTCCGAGACGACTCAATAGGCCCCCAAGAACGCTCTTGGACAGCCCAATGTCTCCAGGACGGCCTAAGAGGCGCCCAAAACTACCCAACAAGGCCCCAAGACGGCCCCAAGAAGGGTCCAAGAGCGGGAACAACGCAAACCAAGCATTCGAGCCTTCTGCCTCGAGAGGCCGCCGGCAAGCCGCCGTGGCCCTTGCTTTCCCGAACAATTGCCACCCGAACTGCTGCGCTTGCACGGTAGCGGAATTGCTGGAGGCAGCTGGATGATTCCGCGGCTAGCATTAGGCTTATGTCGGTCGCCCTACAAGGGGATTTTCGACGACAAATGAAAAATACGTCAAAAATACTCCAAAAGGGTCAACAACATATTCACAAAATAGTCCCCAGACTACTTGTTGGACTATCGTTTGACTATTTTGGGGGTATTCGTTACTCTTCGTCGAAACTCCCCCTGTAGGGGGACAGGCCCGACTTAAGATTAGGCAAGCGTGACCTCCAGTGCGCAGCCTCAGAGGGGGGCCGCAAGGGGGGGCGAAGTCCGTGCGCAGGCCACTGTCTGGGGGGGGAACCCCTGCGGGCCGGCGCCAGCACGTGTCTCAAGCGAAGGGCCCCCAAACCTGCAATCGAAGCAGCCATACGCAAGACGCCCGTGGGTAAGACAACTGGCGAGCGCGCGAGCAACGCCAAACGCGTCAGCTGGCGGACAGAAGGCGCCAAAAGCGCGGCAAGACAGACAAACCTGCGATGTCTTACTTTTTTCAACGCGGCGTCCCCGAGACCCGGCCCTTTCCCAGGGCTGTTCTTTCATCCCGAGCCGATGTTCGACGGTCCTGGGGCCTGGCGAGAGCCCCCGTGAGGCCAAGAGAACGACGAATAACCTCTCGTCGCGATCTCGTCAAGCCGCGATCGCGCGTGGATTAGGAAGCAACTCCTGGGAAGTCCTCGCCGACACGAACAAGGACTGTTGATGAGTAGGGGGCCGTTGAGCTGGAATAGGCCAGATTCAGCCCGCCCAGGATCAAGCCGCAACAAGTGAGATCAAGCCAGACTCAACGGGATGAAGCGGGATTTAAGCTGAGAGAGGCCAGTTTTCGACCAGGGATGTACCAGCGCCGATGCTGAATTAAACCTCCCAGGAGCTCTATCCTAGTGTGGATGCCTTAGAGGCACGTCCACGGGGATATGGGGGATAGGGAGGGCCCGCGCCTTCTAAGAAGCAAGATTACGTCTGAGACGCCCTCCCCCCTGCTTGGACCACCGAGATGGGTACGGAAACATGAGTAGAACGCCCAACAGCAAATGTCGCCCAAAACCGACTGCGGCCGCTGTTGGACAGGAGGTCTTTTGTCTTCAATGAACAACGTCCGCGGAGGCGCGGACAGCGAGTCCTGCTCAAAATGAGCTGGAACTGCTGTTGGGCACCGTTCGGGGAGACGCAAAACTCGGGTACGGGGAACTCGGGTTGCCCCGACGGGGCCGTCATGAAAATGACGAGACCCAATCTGAAATCTGACGCGAACTCCCGCTGCAAACATCCCACGAAAACGGGACCGTCAAATCCAAGACGCGCTCGTCACAAAAACGCCGGCAAACCCGAACTCCTGCTTACTCGAGTCTTACGTTTCCCCGAGTCCTACCCACTCTTTCCGTACCCAGCTCGACCATCCCGACCCTGCCCGACCCCCCCGCTGCTGGGATGACCGTGGAGGGTTCACAGTGGATAAGGGGTTTGCTAATGAATACTTAGGTGGGTCATAGCTGGCCCACCCTGGCCTATAAGTCGGCTACCAATGCCCCAAGTAGCTTAAGTGGTCGAACGATCCGGGCGAAGTGGGCTCCGCCCACTTAGCGGAGTTATCAAACCCCAATAAACTATTCGGGGAACTTGTGACCCACTTATAAGGCAGGTTGGGCCAGATCTAACCCACCTTGGTATCCATTTGTACCCCCCCTATCTGGTGGGCTTGTTTCCCACCACCCCCACCATAAGTCATAAGTAGGAGGGGGAGGGGGTCCTCCCCCTCCTCCTCGTCCTCCTCCTCATCCTCCACCTCCTGCCCCCTTCCAGCTTATGGTGGTGGTGGAAAACAGGCCCATCACTATCCACTTCAAACCCCCACAGTCATCCCAGCAGCTCTTGGCGGCGCGCACAAGAGGGTAGAGGGAGGGGGGAGGGCTTCTTGGAAGGAGGCTGCTTCGTAGCAGGCGCCGGCCTTACATCTGTAGACAAGGCCCGTGCCTTCCAAGAAGCAGGGGTGATTCTAAGAAGCCCTCCCCCCTCCCCCCACCCCCCTTTGCGCGTGGCTGCAGCTCAGCCGTCCCGACCCTGCCCGACTCCCCCGCCGCGCGTGGCCGACGCTTGCGCGCAACGCCGCGCACCGTGCCGCCGGCCCTCGGCGCCCTGGCCCGGCGCAGGTCCGCGCGCGCCCGCGCCGCGACGCTGCGGGCGAGCACCGCCGCCAGCAGCCCGTGCAGCCCCAGCGTCGCGCACACCGGCAGCCACCACCTCTGGAGGGAGAGCTGCCCATACCTCTGCCCCTTCGCCGGTCTTCCCCTTTAAGTGGGCCTCCTGGGAGAGGCCCTCGTCGCCACCGCTGGATGCGCCTGGAGGTGCTGGTCAGAGGGCACACCGGGAGAGGTCCAGGGAGTATAGAGGTGTCGGTGCCCTGTGGCTTCCCCGCACCCGAGTGAGCACGATTGGCGCCGAGCGAGGGGGGGAAGTGAGAAGGAGAAGGTCTTTGCAGAATGCTCGGAAGTCCCACCGCCTTTGAGAAGTTTTTGCTGAGCCTTGCCAGGAGACGCAGAACACCTCTCGGAAGGGGCGCGACGGCTTCTGAGAAGTCCCGCCGACTGCTGAGATGGCCTTCTCCTTCTCACTTCCCTCCCTCACACGCCGCCGAGAAGATAAGCAGGTCTTTCGCGAGATGACAATTGTCAAATCTGATAGGACGGATAGGCGGTTCGTATGCAAGGGCCTTTGGCGCCCATGTCGAAGCGTTTCGAGCGCGGTGGGCCATCGAAGGTGGTCGAGGATGGGCAGAAGATGACCGAAGAGGCTATGATGCAAGGATACCCTTGGGAAGTCGACCATCCTTACTATCAGTTTTGACTGTAGCGACCGTGGCACGCCACATTGGAGACGAAGGCGCTTACAGGCAACCTTACGCGAGCAGCTTGCGCGCGACTGTCGGCGCAATCGGCACCTTTCTTCTGCGTCGCTTATTTTGGGGAACCAAAAACCACGGATACCGCACCTCTCTCGAAGTGCGCTCTGGCGCGAATTTCTGGGCGAATCTGGCCTTGGCGACGAGGGCCCCCCAAGAGACCCACGAAAACGATGACAGGGGAAGGGAAACAACATCAGGACCCAGCCCCGCGATGTCCTGATCATGTCCGTATCTGGTCGGGGACCTGCTGACCCGTGTCAATCCAGACCCGGGTTAGTCAGGCCTTGCAGGCTCCAAATGGATCCTGCAGGATCCTGCACCCGAGCCCGGGTCAGTGCGCCCCTGGCCCTGCAGGATCCTGCAAGATCCCGCGCTCTGACTAACCCCCATTTGCACTGACCCCTGTCCCTTAGGCATCGAGATTGGGTCCCGGGAAGCCCCCGCCCTCTCCCTGGGGCCAGTTTTCCATCCTGAGCTGCAACTTTCGAAGGCCTCGCGACTCGGTGAGGCCCCGCATGGCCACCAAAAACATCCGACCCTGCTCTGCTTTTTTGTTTGCAAGAAATGCGACTATATCGGGAGGGCTCCCAAATAAATGGGGTCCGAGCACATGGGGTCGGAGGATCGCGCCGCATCGCCGATGCATCGGCGCCGTCGGCGTGGAGAAAAACGAGTTCCACATCGAGCCGCATCGGCGATGCATCGGCGATGCAACGGCGATGCGGCGCGATCTTTCGACCCCATCTACTCGGACCCCGAGACCTAGATAATATTTTACAACGCGATCATCTCTGGGTGCGCGTTGGAGGCGGCGGGGGGGTCTGAACTGCTGTCAGGAGGGAGGATGAAGCTAAATCCGCTCGAAATCGGCCCACGGATCCCTCCTGGGGACCCTCTGGCGCAATTCTGCACCCTGGATTCGTTTTTCACGGTCCCGGGTACGACCCCTGGAGGCTGAACAAGAAACAAAAGACCTGCCCGCCCTTCTTGCTGGCTGGAACCAATGCTGGGCCACCTCAGAACCCCAGACGGCTCCAGAGCACACGTTCCAGGGCTCGACCTGAACACTGTTATCCGTTGTCGTTTTGCGCCGCTCTATTTTCGTTCCGCCTTGGTCGCAGAACGAACTCAAAACGAAAACAGTCCTCGAGATCGTCAAAACACCATTTACCGAGGCCACGCTAACGGCGATGTTGTTTAAGTTAACGGTGATGCTGGGAATATGACTTTTGCGGCGCCGAAGTCGCGCAGAACTAATTGCAGGAAATCACGGACCACACATTCCTACATTTCAGACACGCGAACGTACTGAAAACAGACGGCACGGAGAATTGCAGGAAACCGCGAACCACACTTTCCTACACTCGGGTCGGCCACGAACCATCCCTACCTACAAGGACCGAAACATACATCGCCGTTACCTACATCTCCGTTAGCGCGTATACGTGTTAGGTTAGGGGCTCTGCTTTTATCCATGAGTGCGCCCTGACACGTTCCATCCTCCGCTTACCGTGGGAGCTCGACCACACCTTCCTTTTCAAATTTTGGTGTGGGAACGCCACGCTCTCCATTGCAAAACCATCCAAACCCAAGAAGACCAGGCACCCTGGAGGAAAGCAAGGTGTTTTTTGAAGCATGGCATGAGTTTCCGGGGAAGGGGAGGGGGAGGGGAGGAGGAGGGGGAGGGGGGGAAGGAGGAGGAGGAGGGAGGAGAGGGGAGGAGGAGGAGGAGGAGGAGGAGGAGGAGGAGGAGGAGGAGGAGGAGAGGAGGAGGAGGAGGAGGAGGGGGAGGGGAGGAGGGGGGGGGAGGAGGAGGAGGAGGAGGAGGAGGAGGAGGAGGAGGAGGAGGAGGAGGAGGAGCCTCAGCGGGCGCGCGGGGCCGCGCGGGGCGCGGCCGCCCCCTGCGGGCCCTCCCTCCCCCGCTCCCCCCGCTCTCCCCTACCTCAACTCCGGGGCCATGGAGGTGGACGTCGACGTGCGGAGGCGGAGGCGGAGGCGGAGGCGGAGGCGGGGGCCCCCGCGGCGGCTGCCATGTGCCCGCTGGTGGCCGCCGGCGGCGGTCGGCGCCCTGTTCCCTCTCCTGTGCGGCGTCACCCTCGACTGCAAGACAGACGTCGAGGCCGTCTGGGACGCGGCGGTGGCCAAGTGCCCGCAGGCGCAGCTGACGCTGCCGAGCCCGGCGGACATCGAGATGCTCATCTGCGAAGCCGCGTCGCAGAAGCAGGTCGAGGACAAGGCCGTTGACGAGACTGCCAGGTGATCACGGCGAAGCTCCCCAACATCAAGTTCAACCCCGACTGCAAGACAGACGTCGAGGCCGTCTGGGGCGCGGCGGAGGCCAAGTGCCCGCAGGCGCAGCTGACCCTGTCGAGCCCGGCGGACATGGAGAAGCTCATCTGCGAGGTCGCGTCGCAGAAGCAGGACGAGGACAAGGCCGTTGACGAGATCTGCCAGGTGATCACGGAGAAGTTCCCCAACATCAAGTTCAACCCCGACTGCAAGACAGACGTCGAGGCCGTCTGGGACGCGGCGGTGGCCAAGTGCCCACAGGCGCAGCTGACGATGCCGAGCCCGGCGGACATGGAGAAGCTCATCTGCGAAGCCGCGTCGCAGAAGCAGGTCGAGGACAAGGCCGTTGACGAGATCTGCCAGGTGATCACGGCGAAGCTCCCCAGCATCAAGTTCAACCCCGACTGCAAGACAGACGTCGAGCCCGTCTGGGACGCGGCGGTGGCCAAGTGCCCGCAGGCGCAGCTGACTCTGCCGAGCCCGGCGGACATAGAGAAGCTCATTTGCGAGGTCGCGTCGCAGAAGCAGGACGAGGAAAAGGCCTATGACGAGATCTGCCAGGTGATCACGGAGAAGTTCCCCAACATCAAGTTCAACCTCGATTGCAAGACAGACGTCGAGGCCGTCTGGGACGCGGCGGTGGCCAAGTGCCAGCAGGCAGAGGTTGAGGAGGCCGAGGACAAGGGTGAGGATAATAATTCTCCCGCACGCAGCGCAAGCGATCAGGTCCCGGAGGCGGGCGCGCGGCGCGCGCGCGGCGACCCGTAAAGGATGACGGGGCGCCGCGCCCAAGCCGTGCGGCGCCCTCAGACGACCTCGTCCAACGAGGCCATCTGGACGGCCAGGTGGCCGTAGCAGCGCCGCAGGCCTGCCTGAGTAAGGCGGGGAGGGGGGGAGGGGGCCGAGAAGCTGCAGGACCTGAACGGGCGCGAGCGGCAAGGAGAATAGAGAAGCGCATTCTCCCGCACGCAGCGCAAGCGATCAGGTCCCGGAGGCGGGCGCGCGGCGCGCGCGCGGCGACCCGTAAAGGATGACGGGGCGCCGCGCCCAAGCCGTGCGGCGCCCTCAGACGACCTCGTCCAACGAGGCCATCTGGACGGCCAGGTGGCCGTAGCAGCCATACCCAGGCTCAAAGCCCTTGCGAAGTGACAAGGTTTTGGCGGGCGGCCGCGAGCAGAAGGGGCCACGCAGTGGGGCCACAGTTCAGAAAGGAAGCGACAAGGAAGTCGCTCGCGCCATCGAAGTAGGTGACACGGGCCCGAGCGGCATCAGGCAAGGCGGAAAGCATCGCGGCGGAAGCATCGTCGTGCAAGAAGCGCTCCGCGCTAGACGCCTGGCGCCAGCGACTACGCCAGAAGATACGACCAATATCTTCTGTGGCCGTATGAAAGTCTGTCGCGCCTGAGCCGCGGGGGCAAGCAGGGGTCAAGTGGAACCCCGCTGGCGTCTCGGCGAGCGGTACGCCTAACGCCAAAAGTAAATGGTTCCACCGAGTACGGAAGCCGCTTTGACCAAAGGTCGACAGAGGATCGGTGGGACCCAAATGCCGAAAGACCATCTCCAAAACCCGAACCACCGCTTTGTCAGAGCACCAGGCGTGCTGTGGCGGGTAAGACATGCTGCTCACTGGATCGGGAATGGTCATCCAAGCGTTGCCTGAGGACTCAAGGCAATCCGAAGGCAACAAAAGGTCACAGCGACGGGCTGACAGCAGCTCGTCGGGCTTCAAGGACATCGTGAACCCTGCCAGCAGCAAGGCGGCCATGACTGGCCAGTCCCAAGTGAAACAAACTGCCACCATAGCGCGCAAGAGCGCTCGTGGCATTGGCGGCCGAAGGCGAGGTGGCTGAGACCGCTTCCAGGCCCTCGCCACTCCCCACGCCTCGGTGAGAAAGGGCTTCCAATGAGGGAGACGTGCCTGGACGCCTATGATCGCGTGCACCAGGATGTTGAGCGGGAAACCTGCGTCGTGCAGCCACACGCCGAACGTTGCGAGGAACCTCGACAGCAGGATCCCACTACGATACAGCGGAAGTGGCGCCACCCCTGCGTCCTCGGCGCACCACAATTCGAACGCGTAGAGAGCTCTTTTGCGCCGATCGCCGGCCGAAGTCAGAACAGCGCCTGACCAGGGAGCGCTGGGAGGCTCCGTCTCTGCCGCCCTGCGGCGGCGGCGGCGCGCGGGGTGGGGGACTCGCCGAGGCCAGGCAAGGGTGGCACTCTCGTCGCGATGCCGCGCCGGCTCAGCCTCGCTGTGCAAGCCCGTACCAACCCTGGCCTCCGCCTCGGCGGCGCTGTCCACCTCCGCGAGGGCAGTTGGCGCTGCCACAGGCGAGGGCGAGTACGCCGCCGCCTCAGGGAATCCAGCGGAGGCGGCCTCTCTGACGCAATCAGCAAGACGAGAGCGGGCGATGCGCATCGCATCCTTGCGCCGCTCGAGCTCGGCTAAGAGCGTCTGCATTCGCTTCGCCAGCTCTCCCGCGCTCTCGCCAGTCTCTTCGCCTGTTCCCAGCATAACCTCGGTGAGAGCGGCCTCGGCAGCGGCGACCGAGGATAGGAATCGCGCGCGAGCGCGCCGGTCGGCACGCGCGCGCCGCGCAACCGCGGCCGCTGGGCCAGCGACTCGGCTGGTGCGCATCGCAACCGAGGTAGCGCACGCCCCGTCTTGGGGCAGGCCTCGAGCCGCGCGCGCAGAGGGCTCCAAGGAGTCGAGAAGGTGTGGCGCAGCCGCCAACGCGTCTGAGCCCTTCTCGTGCGCGGCTCCGCTAGGTTGGGGGAGATCCGCGCTATCAACGGGCGAGTCCACCGACAGAAGTGCGGCGCGAGGCGCGGCCGCGGGGCCAAGAGACCTCGGACTGGCCCCGGCACGGGGTGCGGCCTCAAGCATGGCGAAGGAGGCGGCGGCGGGCCCCGAGGCCGCGGGTATGCGCGCAAGCGCGTTCGGCCGCAATCGATCCGCAGGAACCCGCATGGGTGCACCGTCGACGCGTAATGCTGGTGGCGCACTGGCGGCGCGAGCAGGAGGGCCCATGCTGATCCTGGCGCCCCGCGCCGAGAATGCGCCAACCGGCAAGCTCCCGGAGCTCGCCGAGCCGGTGACCGTGGGCGGGTCGCGAGCTCCGGAAGCGAGGTCGCAAGCGGGGTCGCTGCCGGAGCCGCGCGGCGGCGGAGCGGCCGCGAAGCGGGCGGCTGGGCCAGCCGAGCGGGTGCTCGCGCGAGCGCCCCGCGGCGGCGGTGCGCGGCGAGAGCCCCGCGGCGACGCCACTGGCGGCGCGTCCTGCGAGTCCGACTGGCGTCGCGGGGCGCGGTCGGAAAAAGTATGCGGAACGCGGGCGCCGTCCCCCGGCGCAAGCGGCGCGTCGCGCCACTTCGAGGTGCTGCCGAGCCGGGCGCTGCTGGAGGGGGCACCGGGCGCGCCTGCTCCAAGGCCCGGGCTCCAGGAGCGCGAAGGCAAAGGCTCACGCCCCTCGTCCGCCGACGCGGCGGCGCGATGGCGCGCGCAAGGCTGGCCCCACAGCGCGAAATTGGCAGTGCGCCTGGCCCTACGACCCGGGGGCGGCGCGGCCGCGCCAGGCGCCGAGAGCAGCGCCGCGGGCGCACGAGCAGCGCGCGCACGACGGGGGCGCTCAGCGCGAACCGTTTCCGCTGGACGAGCTGGCCGATGGCGCCTTCCGCGCGAAGAGCAGGGCGCCGAGGGAGTCCCAGAGGCGGAGGCCCCGAAATCCGGCCGTGCTCCGCCCAGCTCGGGCTGCAAGCACTGGCAGGCGCCGGCGGCGCGCCCGTCTGGCCACGGCCGCGCTCTTGCATATAGGCGCGGGCCCGCACGAACGCCTCCGCGGCAAGTCCCGTGCTCCCGTTCCTGGCAAGGTAGGGTTCCCGCTCCCGGCTGGCAACGAGAAGCCTCGCCAAGCAGGAGCGACTTCGCGTCGCAGAACCTGGACCAGAGGGGAGAGGCGTCCGCGCGGTCCGATGCGGACAATGGGCGATGGCGCGCCCTGTCCGGGCGGTGCGGCGTGGCCAACCGCCGGAACTGGCGTTCCATGGCCGACCGGTCGGCACCCGGTTTGAGCTGAAGGAGCTCGCGCGCCGTCCGCACCTTTGCAACCTTGGCGGGTCGCTTGGGATCGGTCCGGGCGGCGAGCCTCGGCCTGGCCGCCGAAAGCTGGGCGGGCGCGCCGGGCGGGCCAGCGGCAACGGGGGCCGCACCCGGCCTGAAGGGCGCTTCGAAAGGCGACGCGCCCTGGGAGGCTTCATGGGGAAGCGCGGAGAGCTCAGCGGCACCTTCGGCGCTCCTTCCCCCGAGGCATCCGCCGCCCACCGCGGGAGAGGCGTTCCGCCTAGGAATCTCTGGAGCCTCGGCTTGCGCTGGGTCGGGCTGCGGAAGCGTGCCGGGAGCTTCGAGAAAAACCGGCGCCTCGACCCCAGTTGCGGCGGCCGCGCTTGCAAACCATGCGTCGGCCGCGGGGGCGGGCGAGAGAGGGGGACGTGCCGCCAGACCATGGGCGGCCCGGGCATTCCCCCGCGCAAGGAGCCCCTGTGCTAGGACTAGCGCGGCGAGCCGTCCCCATAGGCAAGTGGGGTAGGGAGAATGCGCGTCAGCAAGTGCGACCCAATCGAACCTACCGAAATCGCCCGCCTCAGCGTCGACCAGCCACGCAGGAGCCTCCCTGGAGGGGGGGCGCACAGGCCGATTCCTGGTGGGGTCATCCGCCCTGTGGACGTCGGTGGGCACATAGAGGCCACCCATGTATAAGCCACCGCTCAAGATGTAAGGCAAAGCCGTGCTGAGGACATGGGAAAGCCCTGGAGAGCTGCTGCGACCGTGGGCGGCCGCGCCCAAGGCGACCTTAGAATCGAGCAGCACAGGGATCCGAGAGTCCGGCATGCGAACGCAGCAGTACTTGCACAGACTCTTGAAAACAGTGGCCTCCAGGATGTTGATGTGACGCGGCATTCGAAATTCCCATTTATAGGCCAGGCGGAAGTGCAGCGCTTCCGACAGTTCGCTTATCCAGTGCGGCGCGACTGGGGGCTCAATGGAAGGGAGCCCCAAATCGCGATGCAGCTGGGTGAGCTCGGGGCCTAATGGGACTCCCCGGTCCAGCACGGCAAGCAAACTTCGGTTGTGGAGGACCGTGTGCCACCCTCCGTGCTCAGACCGGCGCCACAACTCTTGGGAGAGATGTGGACTGATCGAGGAGCGGACCACTCCCCCCCAGCCGAGGGAGGCGCCCGTGCCGAACACTTCGGGGGAGTAGCCCGCGCGAAGGTCGGTAATGGCGACAAAGGCCAGGTAAGTGCAGGCTAGCAGCTCGTCGCGAACGGAGACGGGGAACTCGTATTCGAACCCATCTTCCGTCGACAACGACGACAGGAAGTTGTAGACGTGCGTGAAAATCGACAGCATGGGCCTGCGAAAGAGAAACACTTGCACCCAACATCCGACGAGCGACGCTAGCACCGCGCGGGTCGAATGACCGAGGTACACTTGGATGAGGGTTAGCCGGCACAGGGCCACGGTGCGCACAAGAGGCGCGCACACGATGCCTATCCGACCCTCCACCTCGGCACCGACCACGACCTTATGAGTCGCGCCACGGGTCCGCTTACCAGGGTGCTGGACCAGCCCCACGCGAGGGTAGCCGCGGTCGCACGCAGCAAACACCTCCTTATCACGACGATTTGGGTCGTC